GATTTCTAAATTTCTGAGTAAAAAGATGTAATTCTTTATTCCTATTTTAACAAATATTTTATTTTTTTCTTCATATTCTGGAGGGACTCAAACTTTAACATGTCAATACTTGATAGAAAATACATGTTCCATGTTATGTCTAAGTTGCTTGATTTTCAGACAGATAGTGAGGTTAAGCTCAACTGCCTATGTTGTAGGGCAATAATAATAAGCTTCTCTTTTGAAGGGTTAACAACCTAAGTTTGCAGACCAAAAACTAGAGAAAAAGAAGGGCTACAAGGACAGCCAACATTTTGGCCCTAGCCTTTCAAGGTCAGTGAAGATTGAGGACATAGGAGAACCTATACTGAACATCATGTAACTCAGTTGTGTCCCAAATTTTCTGATCAAGGAGATTATAGGGCCATAGAAGAAAGTGATTGATGATGTAAAGTGTGCCTAAGGAGAATGACATGGAGAGAAAACACTCTCTCAGACTTTCACAGAGAACAGACTGGTCAAGCAATGGCCGTAACTCATCCACATGGCTGACACTAACAAAGGATCTACAAACTGCGATACAGGCTTTCAGGGTAAATCCTGAGGGAATTTGACTGATCTTATCAGGTACAAAAGTTACATTTCTTGTTATATAGGTCTTGCTTTATCTTGGTCTTAACCATCTAGCAGAAAAGTATAAAGATGAAGTATAAAAAGTAAAGCCATATTAATATGCTGAGCTATAAAAGGCTCAAGTCAACAACTTCTGACATTGTCAGTCCTATGGAAAACCTACTACTATTCTGGACTACTGAACTATATTGGACTATTTTCTGAATTCATGCACCTACAATATTTAAGTGACAATGAAATACCCTTTTCTGGCAAAACTAAACAAAAAAAGGGGATACAAATGAAGGACCATTTTGTATCTGTGTATTCCAAATAGTTAGGATAGGTATACAGCTATTTTCTGTTAATTCAATGAATAGAAAGATTTGTTATAATAGTGTTTGTAGACAGGATAGCATGTCTGTATCTTGTACAACGAATAACCACTAGACAACAATATGCAATGTATTAATTATTGAAAGTGTGCTAGTAATCGGTTTTGAAACTGTGTCATTGCTATTTGTTTCTCAATAAAATTATTAAAAAATAAAAAAATAAATAAATTTTGGCTTTATCACTAGCTCTAGGATTTTGAACTAGTTTTACTATTAGTAACCTCATTTCCTCCACTAAGAATTGAGGATGATAGCTGTCCTGTAGGCTGTCATAAAAGCAAAGGAGACTGTAACCATGTGATCTATGACCATCAGATACCGAGGTCCTAGCTTATGCATTAATATTAAACACGAGTGGGATGATGTAGCTCGTGCAATTTACTAGTACATGATTTGGCTGCCAGAAAGATGCGCTAGTGAAAGTGCTGTTTGACAGTGGACAGAGACATGCATGCATACTGACTTCTTGTCTAAGCACTGTGATGACAGTGGAGGGCATGAAAGGCAAGAGGTGTTTGAGAAATGGAGAAGGAAGAATGAGAGCTGGTTGGTACCGAAAAGTGTTGCAAGCAGATTTGTATACAGATTTACTCATTCACACATTTACCCAGAGTTCTCTTAAATATCATCACCATAAGAACTATTAAATAATAAATAAGATCGATACATTCAGTGGTAGGCTGATAGATATTTAAGAACCAAATCTCTGAGAAAATGGTATAATTTACTGATACCATTTACTTATTTCTTTGGTAAAAATGCCATGACCAATTTCCAGCTAACATAATACACACAGTACAACATTCTTCTACTATTTCCATCAGGTGGGTATAATAGACATAAATGCCAAAGGATATAAGTAGCATTATACATAATAATTACAGAATGATGAACTTTGAGTATTTTTAGTTTTATTTTAAAACTAATTAAATTTTTAATAATGGCTGAGCTCAATACCAAGCTTGCAAAATGCTTGAAAATTTCAGTTAGTTATCAAGTGCCAGGAGCAGTACAGTACTGGGTGTATTGCTAGGTGTATTAGTATAGTATAATTTTTGGAGCATATCTGTGTTAGGTGTCTTTATTTTCTAGACATCAAAACAATTAGCACAGTGTAGTGAGATTTCATTTTTCTCCCTCACCCTTGAGTTCCCTAGGGTCAGTGACTACAACTTGCAACTCCATGTCTTTTGCATCTTGCACTGTGCCTAGGAGTATAGGGCTGAATAAGTATATTGAAAATATTAATCTACCTGGATCTGACTCCTGAGCCTCTAGGAGCCCACATGAACGTGATGATGTACAAAGACTGTAGGCACCAAATGCACCGACAATTTAATGGACATTCTGGTTTTTTTAAAAATTAATTTTATTGAGAAATAGCAATGAGAGTTTCAAAACCGATTAGTAGGACAGTTTCAATAATTAATACATTGCATATTGTTGTCTTCGTAGTGGTTATTCATAGTACAAGATGCAGACATGATATCCTGTGCAAACACTATTAGTACAAATTTTTCTTCTCATTGAATTAAGAGAAAGCAGCTGTATAGCTAAACATTCTGAATAAACATGTGAATTAATGGTAAGATCTTTCTAGCTACAAGTTTTTTTTTTACTGATATGGAAAATAAAAGGGATTGTAGATCATTGATAGTGGATACATCAATTCCTTATCAAATGTGTTTAATATATTTTAATGTTAATGTCTTTTAAGAGACAAAAGCAACACATATTCACTGTAGAAAAATTAGGATGTACAGAAGCATAAAGACATAAAATCCACCTGTATGTAAGAAAGTTAATATATTAGAATAGGTTAGGGCAGTAGCTTCTGGAAGGTATCAAAGAAGACCTCTTAAACAAGATACCTTATTTCTTCTTTAAGTAAAGTGAATGCCTACAGATTGTGATTGGTATAGTGGTTCTGTTCTCCATCATCCTCAGAAGCTCAAATTCACTCCCAGCTCGGGGCTTAGCTATCCCTAGAGTGTGGACCTCACTTCCTCATCTTCCAGCCTAGCATCTGCATTCTTGGGATCAGGACAGAGGACTGGATGAAGTAGTACAGGGCTGTCTTTCTAGGGGAGGTTCTCAGAACTTGCTTGATGGTTCATCTATGATACAGGCTTGTTAGAATATATTCACAGGGTCATGTTTGCCTGTAGTGGAGTCTTGGAAATATCTTTATTGTCAGCCCAGCTAAAAATTTATCAGTTAAATGTGCTCACCTAAAATTTCTATTACCCATTAGAGAAAAGGGAAATAGATTTTTATGATCAGGTGTCAAAGTTTGACACAGTTGTTTGCCTAGTGAAACAAGAATTTCTAGGGTACAAGGAAGTCCATTTTGAAGAGTTGTTTTGATACACATTAATAAGTTACCCTTCAGATACTTTGTACATCTTTACATTGTAGTAGCATGTATGAATAGTACTTATTACCACTTAGTGAAGTAAGCCATCACTTCACTCCATGTATGCTATCTGGATTTACTGATTAGAATATGTGATGGAAAAAGTTTTTGAGTGATGGACCAGAGCTTTGTTGTTAGGAGGCTTTCAGTTGCAAGATAATCTAAAGAGTGTTATGTTTATTCAAACATTACTGAATTAAGGAAAAAGGAACTGTAAGGCATATATTGAAATCCAGAGCTGAATAATTAAAAACTGAGTTCTACTAAAGAGGAATGGGAGAGAAGACTATTGAGCTATAGTCACTTTTTAGTCACTGCACACAATGCCTGATACCCACAACTTAAAGGAGGAGATGGTTACTTAAGTCTGTAATGCCAGGGTATTCAGCCCCTGATAGGCTGACTCCAAAGCAGAAACAGGATGGACGAAGGGCATGGGGGAGCCGTGTTGCTTAGTTCATGGGGACCAGGAAGCAGAGCTGGGCAGCCATGCCAAACAGGAGAAGAGAAGAACACTGTGTAGTATTCAAGGCCGTGCCTCCATGACCCACCTGGGCATAACCAGGAGTGTGCTTTACTGAGCTAAGAATTTCCCAGTACAGTGAAGTTGGCATACCAGGATAGATGGTGATAGTACTATAGTTGTAAAATTTTGAGGCATAAAGCAAAGAGTAAGTATAATACGACGTCCTGTTTGTCAGTGAAATGGCTTTTACACATACATAATCATCAGCTATGATTCTCTCTCTCCCTCCCTCCCTCCCTCCCTCCCTCCCTCCTCTCCTCCCCGCCCCCCTCTCTCTTTTATTTCTTTCTGAGACAGGGTCTTGCTATGTAGTGTAGGCTGGACTTGAACTCGCTTATGTAGCCTAGGCTGGCTGTGAACTCAGCAATCCTCCTATCTCAGCCTCCTGAATAATGGGATTACAGGTGTCCACATCACTCCCAGCCATCAACTGATTTTCCACGCAATATCCTACGTGATCTTTATATGTTCTCTCAGCAAATTTGCATAGCAGTCAAGGTGAACATATATTATTTTGCACATTCATAGTTTACAAAAGATAACCTAAAGGCTGAAGAGAGGTCAAGGTAGGGTTGGAAGTAGAATTGAAGCTCACACTCTTGAATTTAAATTTTTGCTCTTTTCTCTTCTACTTTTAAGAGCCAACTGGTAGGACTGGGGCCATAGCACAGTGGTAGACCATGTGCTTGTCATATTTTAGGCCTGGTGGCCAGTTCCCAGTTAAAAAATTTAACTGATAGCAAATTTTGGTAAGGAGATCAGTTTTGCTGTAACGTTTACATCAACCTAAGGCTATAGAAGATGTCATTAAATACTTAAGCAATATAAATATACAGGAGAAAAAAAGCAATATAAAGGGGAGGAAGAACCTCATGGATGTTTTGTTTCTTCTAGGAGCTTCCTGCATGGGCTAGTTCCCGTCCCTTCATCTCTCACAGTATTTGCCCTAAGTATAATACTTTTCATGTGTTTACCATCATACAGTTCTTATTTTGTTGTGGCTGCCTACTGTTTTATGTCTGCCACTAGACTTATATCTTTGGGGATAGGTCTCAGATCTTGCACATCTTTCTGTTTCCAGGATCGAGAAACATGCCTGGAAGTGGAACATGGTAGGTGTTCAAATACTTTTTGCAGTAATAATAATTTTTGCAGTTCAAATAATTATGTAGAATTTATTCCATGTGATGCATTTGCTGAAAGAGGAATTGTATCAATGCATTATAAAGCCAAATTTTAAGAGGTACAAAAATACCAATGCACTGGTGAGAAATTTTGGTTGGCCAGGATATAAAGAGAATGTATACAAGGTGATGATATTCTCTGCCAGTGTGCTTTGAGTATTTAATATTTTATTTACTTATTCAATTCTCATAAGAATCTTATCAGCCAAATAAATTTTCTCTACTTTGAAAATGGAAAAATGGCGACATAATTAGAGGCCACAGGCCCTTCTGCTCTGATATTTCTGTTTGGCTATCTTTCACTGCCATTGATAATAGTTTATTTGCTTTGTCATCATTCCTCCACAGAACCATCTTCTCTAACAAAAACGCGTTGATCCTTTTCCGATTGCTTTGTCTGCCCACGAGAACCTTTTTCCACTGAAGTAAGAGCCATAAGTATTTTGAGGAATTACTGTCCTAATACTGAAGCAGTTCCTAACATTGATGAGTTATTTGCTGTCGCCATTTTTAACTTTCTCACTCGAATAACCAGGAACTCATACTTTAGAAATTTTTTCCCATAAAAAAATATCTGTTTACATCTTCCAGTTGACTGCTGCGCTGGGCATTTCCGGGTGCAGACACTGGAACCTTTGTGGACCTGTCTCTCCCGGTCCCCTGCCTGCAGCTTTCTCACCAGCAAAACTACACTTCCCAGAAGCCTCTTCATCCTTGTCGCTGTGCTGGAGGCGTCATGGGAAACCTGAAGACTTTCTGTGGAGCTGCGCAGGGGCGAGAAGCGCAGGGCCGACAGGCGTGACCTTCCCGCCCTCACTCATCCCTAATGGCTGGAAGGCAGGACGAACAGGGAGCGGGTGCGTCCCTGATGGTGGAGGGCAAGGCCAACACGGAGGTTAAGCTCATTCTGTACCACTGGACGCATTCCTTCAGCTCTCAAAAGGTAAAGGCCTCGGCCATGGAGGGCAGCGAGCATCGAGTTTCAGCACTGGACAGCTCCCGCCAGGCCAGACCCAGGGTTGCCAACCTGGAGGGCGGGGCGCCCCCTCCAAGATAGGCACTGCCTCTTGCTGGGGAGTAGGGACAGTTCATCTCATCTGGGAAGGATGTGGCTTAGGCAGTGCCACTCATGAAATACGACAACTAAGCACCACTTTTAGTATTTGGCCAGAGGCCTGGCCTACTGCCTTTATGCACCCGCTGAATCTCCCTTTCTCCTTTTGTTTATCCTTTCTTGTTCATATTCCCCCTCCCCAGAAAGGCCTAATATTCCAGTCTGGGCAGGATGCAGAATTAGCTTTAGGACACAAAGAAAGTGGTGATAGCAGGAAGGGGGACTGTATGATAAATATAGCCAGAATCATCATTGTTATGTATTTTGTTTTTTTCTAATTTGAAGCAAAAGACTCTGGACTATGTCTCACTTGTTCATTCTAGGAATATAAATCATTAGAATGCTAAGCACGTTAATGCAGGAAGCCCAGAAAGGCTATTTAGCGATGTCCAGGGAAGTCATTGAACTGAAAACTGTCCTGAGCTGCAGTAACCCGTGTGAACTCTTCTAGGTGCGCTTGGTAATTGCTGAAAAGGCATTGAAGTGCGAGGAACATGATGTAAGTCTGCCCCTGAGTGAGCACAATGAGCCTTGGTTTATGCGTTTGAACTCAACTGGAGAAGTGCCTGTCCTTATCCACGGGGAAAACATAATTTGTGAGGCCACTCAGATCATTGATTATCTTGAACAGACTTTCCTGGATGGTAATGTTAAGGCTATTTGTGATTTCTTGGATTTATTCTCAACACAAATGTGTTCTCGCTTTTCCTCTCTCTCTGTCTCATTCTTTCTCTTGCGCACTCTTTCTTTCTGGTTTCACGATGTGGTTTGGTGATAAAAGCCTTTTCCATTTCCATGAGCATGTAAATATAGGTCAATGACATAAATTTCACTTAAGCCTGTATAACTCCATTAAAATTTTTCATTAATAAACAAACATTAATGTTGAAAGTTCAAATTCACTTGCAAATGACCCTGCAGGTGTGTTGTTTGGAGTGGAAATTTATTAGCTTTAAAGTCGAGTTCACAGTATTGATTCTAAACACAGTATGGGAATGAGTTTTATCATTAAATGGTTTTATATCAGAAACAAGAGGAAAAAGGAGAATAAATCCTAGACAAGGGAAAAATAGAATGTTAGTATACTTTGAGTTCCTTGTCTTAGTTCTGTCTGTGTAAAGTTTTTTAAAAAATAATTTTTAAGGTTAAAATTTTTGTGGGTTTAAATTTGTATAGTTCAAGTAGCAATCGTTTATTGATAGCTATATCAGGCATTTTATAAATTTTATTTTAGTCTGCTGTCAAAAGAACCCATCTGAGGGAGGCATGGTAGACTATTTCCATTTTGTATTGGAGTTGCCCAAGGTAAGATAGCCACTTAATGGAATGGTCTTTTGTGTCCACTCCCTTTACAGCATACTAGTTATTTCTGTAGTCTTTGTCACGCACATTGTCTCACTTGTCCCTGAGAACAAGCCATTCAGGTGAACTATTGCTTCAGTTCTTTGCCCTAGCTTACACTGTTGGTCACTGGTGAAGCTGAGAGAAGACCATCCACTTCTACCTTTCAGCTGAACTGAAAAGGAAGCCACAGTAACCCAGTTACTTTTCCTCTGCCACCAGTCATGCTGATGCTCATTGGGCAGGGTGAACCAGTGTGTCACCCATATTAAAGGATGCTGAAGGAAGGAATTACTGGCTCAAAATGTATCTGGGGTGTCAAGAAGAAAACTGGCTATGGGACCTATGTGGGAGGGGAATAGCGAAGCCTAGGGAATTAGACTAGGAACGCCTATTCTGTTTTTCCTCAGGGAATGAAAAAGCTATTATTGTTTATGATCTGTCAGTTCCCTAGGGATTCTAGTTTCTGATTGGAGATTTTAAACTAATGGTGGTTTTGGCTGCATCACTTGGCTTAGTGAGCTGCTTTTCACCATTTCTATCGCTTGTATGCTGAGAGCTGTACTGGAAATGGTGACTAACTGATTTAGAACAATTTTTCTAAACTTTGAGCTTTTTGGAAATGGATAAGTCTGTTCATAATTTGTCTTTCTTTGGAAAAGTCATTATACTAACATAAATAAGACAAAATAATTGTTTAGGAATTGTATTTTAAATTACCAAAAACTTTAAAAATACATGTATAAAAAATGTACCATGCATAAAATGCCATATCTAAATCTTTTAGTAGCTTTGCTTGAACTAATACTATTTCTGACATCATTTCACCTCTCCTCTTCCATCACCACCCCCTCTTTATTTTCTTTCTCTGAAATTCAGGAATAGGTTTTATTTAAAGGTTTTCTTCCTTTCTTTTTTTGCTTCTATTAGTATTAACAAAACTGAAATATATTCTGAGTCTGCTAACATGTATTTAAGTAACTAAACAAAGGAAAGACTAAGGATTTTTGATGATGTTTGTACTTAGAGGAGAAGGTACTGTAGGCTAAATGATATAAAGGAAACATGGAAACTACAGATTTCAACTCTGTTTTGAGCTATTATAATAAGAAAGCAATCAAGAGTCTTACTTTTTAGTCTCAGGCTGCCGCTAATGTGTTGAATATCTTTGCTGATTTAATTTTTCTGTGTACTTTTGGATTAAGTGATACAGTTTTATCAGCTGTAGAGATAAAACAAGTCCAACCAACTTTTAGTTCACTTCCTTCTTTCCCTAGAGAGTAATTATCCAATTGGAAGGGATAAAAAAGATTAACAGTAAGGGAACTGTAATTTATGGTAAATATGAAGACAACCATAGAACAATAGTTACATAAATCCAGGCTAGCCCTATTTAAAGGTCAAGATGAACTTTACCTCAGAGTATTGAAATTTAAAGCAATCATAAGTGTTATCATAATTATAGTAAAGACACTCATTTTAAGCTTTAAGAACTCATGGGACATGAGAAGAGAGCCAGCCATAAGACAGACAAATACTATCCCACTTGTCAAAGAAAGGGAAAGATGAATTCTACTGAAGCGCTTTCCATCCATTGGAATCACTTAAGGTTGTTACAAATGCAGAATTTTAGACCTGAAAGTAGATCTACTAATTAGAATCTTTGTTTTAACAAGAATTTTGGGTGATTTATGTATGCATCAAAGTTTGAGAATAGTGCTATAAATTACTGTGTTTATGTTTCAAACACTGCTATAAATTACTGTCCTTAAGTCTGGCAGAATTGTAGAATAGATTGCCAAAGGATTTAATTTTTTTTTCTTCTTCTGGGAAAGAGAAAAATAGTGAAATAAGTTGATTAGATTGTTTTATCTCTGCAACTGATAAAATTGCTGAAGGTTAAAAAATTTGTATTTTAAAATTTTGAGCCTATTAGTAGAAGAAATTTGCTTAAGTTTTACTTTGCTGGAGAATGTCACAAACACTGTTAAATGTGTCTATTACCTGCCAGCCTTGGTTCTAGATATAACATATCCTGCTTAAGGAGAACATCTGAGGTTACTTTACTGGATGCTCTTGTGGGATAGAGAAGCAAATATGGCTGGCTGATAAACAAGTTATATTGAAGCATATTCATTGGTATATTTCTCATACAAGGTTGTCCTTCCAGCTATAGACTCTCATTTTACTTATAATGATTTTTAAATCATACTTTATTTTAAATCTTTTAATTATTTATGGAGCACTGTGAGCATCATGAGGTTAGAGAATATCAAAGTGTAGAAGCCGTAGGTCTATAGTATATATATCTAACAATTGGAACAAATTCTCTAGTAAAGTTTTGCCCTTTGTTAAAATGTTTTTGTTAAAAATCTTAAATATAGGGCCTGCCTGATTGCTCAGTGGCGCGCTGAGACAGTGATTGACACTGGGTGTGGTGGTGCGCACCTGCAATCCCAGCACTTGGGAGGCTGCACACAGGAGAACCACTATGAGTCCAATCTACATAGTGAGACCCTGTAGACGTTGTCCTAAATACAAAAAAAGAAATCTTAAATATAACATTAAAAATTATATCCCCAATGCCTTTAAAAATGCTTTTAAAATACTCTTTAATAGATGTTAATGAATACTTTTTAATGATTAAAATGAACATTATTGAAATAAATGTCAGCCTGTGAGGAACTCTATAGTAATATTCTTGTTTTTTATTTTTAATTTTTCTGGGGATGAAAACCAGGACTGTGCATATGCTGAGCTCTGCACCCCAGCTCTCTAGGGGCCTTCCTTTTTTTTTTTTTTTTTTTTTGGTGGAACTGGGGATTGAACTCAGGCCCTTGTGCTTGCCAGGGAAGTGCTTATTCCACTAAGCCATTTCCCCGTCCCCTCTAGGGGCCTTCTTATGGGGTTCTTTTTCCTGAACTGGGCCTAACAATTATATGAAGGCCTTGAACAAAGATGTAGAGGTGATGTTATTACATTTGAAAATGATAGAAAAACTAAGATGGTTAAAATGATGACTATCTTACAAAATATTTCTCAGATTAGAAATTAAATAGGAAAAACACTAAGGAAAGGTTTAACAAAACTAATAATATGGCATGTGGATTTTGTTTAGAAAATCTGGCTGTATTAAGGAGAGGGAGTTGATTGCATTTGCTAGTATGAAAGGCTAGTGAGATCTTAGATCTTTTTATTTTTTT